TTTTTGTATAAAATCCTTGGATAATTTTTTGCAGGACAAAAAAAGTTAGTTAGTTTTCATGACCAAGTTTTCTTTTTGTTATAAAATTTATAAACGGAAAGGAAGGGAAAGACAGGGGAAGGGAAGAGACAAATAATTTCGATATACTGCAAGCAGATACTTTTCATTTGTGGCAAAATATTTCAAAGTCGTCGAGGATGTTAACGTTATCGGGGATGTCAATAACATCGTCGATGTCAATATCTTCTATGTCAACAACAACATTGTCGAGGATGTTAAGACCGTTGAAGATGCTATCATCGGGCTTGTCGAGGTTGATAAAGTTTTCTGAAGGATGTACATCATTTGAGCAATTTTGTTGATCTACTGAACTTTGACCGGCAAAATGATGGTTTCGTGTGTCTGTCAAAGTATGTCCCAACTGCGGATTTCCTCCCGTTGGACCTGGAATCAGCATTTATTAGATATCACTTTATTGTGCCAGAGAAAGTGAACAATTTGTTCCACTTCATGGTCATAGATACTTCACAACATATTTTCACGTGCATTCATTTCAGATAGATAAAAATGCTAAAAACTGCTGAATTTGCAAAATTGAGAAGCTCTGATGGAATATTTGTTATGTCATCTCAGTGATTGCTTAAAATTGAGGAACTTTTTACTCTGTTTGTATTGACAGGATTTCTTGTGTTTGGAAAGTCCCGATGAACAGCGATATTCTCTTCCACAACCGGGACGTTTGCATTGATAGCGAAATGGTTTTTTGTGCCTTTGGAAATGTTTGTCATATTCGGTTTTATTTTGCATGATCGCATTACAATCGGGATGTGGACACTCATACTTTTCAACATCTGCAAAATAACTGTTATAATATTAAAATGTTCTGAGAAATATTCGTTGCCCGAATGATCTTGTTTACCCAATAAGCTTTGACTGGCAATGTGATAGTTTCGTGTATCTACCAAAGTATGCCCTAAATGCGGATTTCATTCCGTTTAGCCTAAAATTATCACACTGAGTCAAACGAAGTGAGCGGTTAGTACCCTTTTGGTTTCGTGGATCAAATGGCGTACTATTTTTATCAGTATTTACTGAGGTTAGAAAAATATTGCAGTAAGTATTGAATTTTGAATTGCCACTTCACTGTCGTGTGCCACTTCACGTTTTGCAATACATTTTCATGCGAAGAAATACGTTAAAAAGCTCTTTTGCTAGGCATAAACTTTGCAAAACTAACCCCTAATAGCGTGATATGTCCGCTTGTGCTTTTGTAGTGTACGCGTGGAAGAAGAGAATTTGCCACAAATTTCACATTGAGGTTTAGCTTGATGTTTTTCGTAATGCTCTCGAAGTCCCTTTGAGGTAAGGAATTTCTTTCCACATGTGGGCCAAGTGCAGTTATATAAACGTTGTTCCTTGTGCGTTTCAAGGTGTTTTAAATATTCCATATACGTCTCCATAGTCGCATCACAATAACGACATTCATACTTCTGTTTGACTGAAAAACTGGTATGACGTTTGTGTTTACAAATACCATTTTATATGTTAATTAATGAAAATAAATTGAAAAATGACTGTGTTAGCATCATTCATTAAACCTATCAAATTACGTTATGATTAACTTAGATTACGGGATGTTATTCACTTTTTAAAAGCATATCATAGATTTCTTTTTAAACAAAGAGCTCATTCTCAGTGTTGTCTCCAATGGAAGAATGTCGGATGAAAAGTAATTCTGAATTTTTCACTGCAACTGGATAGAATTCGGATTTGGGATTCTT